TGGTCTAGAAACACTCTTTCAAAGTATGATGGATTGATACAGAGTCTCGCTATGGAGAGTCAAAGAGAGGGAAGTCGAGAAAATGAGAATCGCTAAAACGGGCGTTTTTGAATATCACTAAAATTCACCCCATCTTTGGGGGTCGATATCTCGCGAACGGGGCGTCGGATGGGAAAACCCTTCAAATTAGTTTCTTAGAATGATGTAAAGACCCCGTATACCAATTTTTAGCCAAATCGGAGGGGGTCGGGTTCCGACCTTGGTTGCGTTGACGTGGAATGACCCATACACAATTTTAGGCTCGGAGAAATCGGCTTTAACGGAAATCTGAAGTGTGATAGAAAGAAACCGAGGTCATATTCGGATTCAGCAGCTCAAAATACAGAGGCAACACACTATCACGGGTCCAGGAAAATTTATAAAAATAAATTTCATGCACCACATATAAACGTCGACTTTGCTCATTTTCCCGGGAAAAAGTTGCTTTCCCGGAAAACTGAGAGATGAACGGGAAAAATTAAGGTCATTTCCGGATTTGTCAGTCAAAAAGACATCGGCATTTGAAACTGGAACGGATTTGAACTGCGCATTTCTCGGTTATTGAGTTACTTGTTCGCGTTTTTAATGTGCGCATCGTGTTCTACGCGTAATTTTCCTTCAGAAAACTATATTCGCAAGTCAAAATTTGTTCATGGTTTAGTGACCTGTTTACTAGGATTACATCTTAATGGCTCTAGAGCACTTGCTTATCACTGCTTATGTTTTTCAGGTGGTTTCCGGAATGGAGGAGGCTATTAATGTATCTTCCTTGAAGCTGATTCTCACAAAACTTTCTAAGATTTCTCACCTTTTCAACAGCCTTTCTTAAGAAAGATGCAGTTTATTTTATCACATTTTATGATTAATGTTCACACTTATTATTAAGTACATTTATTACTGTTTTTAAAACAGAAAGAAAGAAGGAACTTTTATGACTGTTGGGTCCAAGTGAGATCTTTCGTGAATGAGGAATAGTCTTTATTGAAATGGATTGTGGTTAAGCTGACTGATAGACAGGTTTCCCGGAGCAGAAGTGTATGCACTCTTTAGATATGAAGAGGGTGAATATATGTATTATTATGTCATCTTTGACACCTATCTTTTTTTTAATCCAGAGAAACTGGTGACTTGTATGATCTAAAGTGACAGCTGGTTTGAAACTAGGTACATCAAATTTGATATATTTTACTATTGCGAGTGCTGATTATGAATATGACTGACGTAAACCCAACGATTATAAATTCCTGTATCAATTAAGATGTGTCAGTAATTTTTTTATTTTATCTTTGTGCTAGTTCGTAATCAGTATTCTTGTCTAAATAAAGTAGTGATGTTTTTTAAGTGGTGAAATGATGGCTTTTGTTGTTTCCAGTGGAATGCTTTCCCCTGCAATCATTAAAATTAAGCTTAAAACCTAAGTTTGAAAATTACGATTTGAAATTAAAAAATCGATGTGAAATAACAAATAAATAAATTAACATAATAAAAGAGGTACATGGGAAACGGGTTTGAATTTGCTCTTGGTAGATGCTTTTGGGACTTGCTCTCTCTGCGTTAATTTTGAGATAAGTGGGGCAAAAAAGCAACCTTAGAGCAGTTTCATACACTTTTTCTAACAATAATGTTGGCAAGGAAGGATAGCTCCTCATTCCTTGCTGCATGTTTGCTGAAAAATAAGGCAGATGCCATTTTTCTTCGTGTTGGTCGGGTTAGAATAAATGGCTAAGCGTATTGGATTAAGAGCAGTGCCATGTTACCACAAGAAAGCACATGAAGGATATACCGAAACATTCACTTTTCAGTCTGCTCTCCTTGATTTTGGCTTAGGGACTTCAATTTGAAAAGCTCATCATGCTCAGGAGGTCGTGAAGAACATTTTATCAAGGAATAACGAAAATTAGTCAATGGTGAATACCTTGGTTTTCTGTGTAGGATCCTGTTTAAAGTTTCAAATTTTTAATACGTCATTGTAGTGACTGAAACAGTGAACGTAATGGCAACTCATTTTGTTTCATGCATACCAATGACAACATACTTAGAAGAGCCATGAATTCACCAAGGAATCCAGTCTGAAAAATTTAACCTGTAATGAAGATGTTCAAATTTTCATGTGAGAGGAAGATAGAGAAGCAAAAAAACGAACGAACCTGAATTTCATGTAGTAACATTTAAAAATTTTATACTTTTTATTGGTTACAGCTGAAGACAAATTAATATTTAAAAACTAGTAATTTAAAATGAAAACAATGTAAAAATGAATAAAACATAATTCTAAAGAAAGAATGATTACACTACATACTTGTAAGAAAATATTTAACAGTGTGAAATAAAGCTAGTATGACCATATTTCACGTGTTGATGAATGCCTGGTCTTACAAGAGGATTTCTATGAATTGAATGGGCCTGTTGTGAACATCAGCTGGAGCAAAGAGGAGAGTAGTGTCGTACAGAAAATGGCTTAAAATCGCTATGAACGCAATAGGAAAGTCAGAAATACACTCCTAACTTCACAATCTGAATAAGAAATGTGCGTTTTTTAAGCCGTTTCAAAAACGATACCATGGCACAGGTGAACATTTCATGAGAGGAGTCGTTCCCTCCAACCCTTGTGCGCTAAGTTGCCACACGATATTCAACATGGTCGATGCCAACCCGCCAAAACACACTTGTTGAGACGGGAATTGATCAATTAGCATATTTATATTTACATTTTCCTTGTGTTGATAAGGATCCATGGTGATTCCTCATGATTTGCGTGCTGAAGCGTCAGCCATGTTGAGTACTGCGAAGCATCCTTGTGATGTGAGCAAGGGTTAGATGGAGCGACTCCTCTTGCGAAATTTTCACTTGCGTTGTAGTATCGTTTTTGAAGCGGGAAGCTTAAAAAATGCATATTCCTCATCATGCAGATTGTGAAGTTAGAAGTGTATTTCAGACTTTCCTAAAGCGTTCATTGTGATTTTTGAGCCATATTCAATGCAAAACAACTTTTCTTTTCCTTCTAGCTGAAGTTTGCAACAGGCCCATTTAAATTGTTTAATTATTCTAAAACAGATAAAACTAACTTTTTTAAAGGCAAAGAAAGAAAGAAAACAAACTTTGGTTCAGGTAAAGTTCGAGGGAGACTCCTTTCTTGGAAGAGGTCTATATTAAGGTTTTCAGATTAAAAATTTTCAAATGGATAATTTTTAACTGTCATACAACGAACATAATATTCATGATTATCTCTGAGCAGAACTAATTTGCAGGTGAGATTCCAAATAAGAGGTGACTTTAGATGAGGCAGAGGGGTGCTGAGTAACGTTGGTAACTCACAGCGAATGCTGTCATCCGCAAAAAAAGCTGTAAATCTGATCCAAATCATACTTTCCTTTTCCAAGCAAAATACCCCATTGCAAAGAAACCTGATCACTTCAGGCTTTATCTTCTATTCATTGAGTTCAAAAAAATATGAAGCAGTCTTCCTGAAAATTTTGGAATCTGCATGCTTTGGTTTTCTTGTTGACATTTTGTCGGCAAGGAAAATGGAAAATTTAGAATAGAGCAACAGAATTCTTGATTTAGATAGCAGAATGTGTCATGCTTGCTAATGATTGTGAATGGTGTTATCAAACAAAATGGTAACTAAAGAATTTCACTGCATTTACGATGATCCTGAATGCGTATAAGGGTCCTGATTATCCTGCACATCCTTGATGGAGAGCTGATGAAGGTAAACTGCCATGCTAAAGAAGAACGCCGTATGAGCCTTCAGATGTTGCCAAATTTCCTCTAAATAAAATAAAAATAATCAGGGAAGCCTGTGAATAAACCCCCCCCCCCCCCCCATTTTATTCGCTATCAGGTATAAACTATCAGAAAATTTTTAAAAAAAATATTCATGACTCCCCATGTAATAAACATTTTATCGGAGGAAATATGGCAACTCTTGAATGTTCATACAGCGTTTTTCCTTTGCATATCAGTAAAAGGGTCCACACTCATCCTTACCTCTAGTACAATCTTGACTTGGCCCCTCGTAATTTTAGCTGTTTGCAGAATTCAAAGAGAGCATGAGTGATAATCTCTGGGTTTTTGACCAAATGCATTTTAAGGAATCTTTTAATGAATAATTAATGAAACTGAAGTACTAAGAAAACCTCATTTGTTAGCTTTCTTCGATCAGTATGAGTCATTTACAATATTTTACTGACAATTTGAACATTTTTGCTTATCAAGTTGTTGTGAAACTGCTGCCATGGATCAGTAAAATACTCGAGCGGAGAATGTTGGAGAATCATACAGAAACCGGTGAGAGATATGGAGGGGAGGGAAACTGAAACTGGTGCACTTTTTGAGAAATTAAAACAATATTCTGTTTTAGAGCTTTCACATTCTATTCCCCATGACGGAATAGATGAGAGCCTTGCAGTGTAGACTTAACTGAGAAAAGCAAATGATAGCGGTAGACTGTGACGGTGAATGACGAATTATTGTCCTAAAATTGATGATGATTTCCAAAACTTAAAGTTTTTAGAAAACAAGCGTGTAATTGTTCCCATAAAATTATTTCTGATTCTCAGCCTGATTTCTGAGTTAAAAAATGAAACTGATCAGGGTGTGAAATTTTTAAATTACTCAGCGATGAGTTATAGAGTTATTTATTTTAACATAAAGTTGGCTTCACATTTTACTGACTACAATGGATCTCATGTCTGCCAGACAGAGTATTTATCCAGAATATGTAAAGAGTATTACCATGACATAACTAAGTGCAAAAATTATCGCACCTTATGATGTTAAGTGATAAAGAAACCTGTGATGGCATTCTGCCTGGTTCTGTCCTTCTTTTTCGGAGGAATACCTCACTGGTCTGTGAAGAAGTCCGAAAGCATTTGTACCTCTTCCTCTTATGAGGGATTTTATATTTCTCTTAAATTTACTTGAAAAAAAAAGAAGAAAAAAATAGCTATCTAATGAACTGTGAGAACACAATTTAACATGGCTTAGGAGGGCTTATTAATATGTACAATGGAATTCTGATCTTGGATTAATCAAAATTAAAAGTCATCAGAACCAACTGGATCGTCAAATTCTTCCAGCGATAAATCTGAATGATCAGAGGTTGTATCACAATAATCAGAAGCAGATTCTTTTTCTTCTTCATCATCTGATGATAAGTCGTAAAAATCCATGTTATTCATGGCTCGAACCATATCCTCTTCATTAATACTATGATCTTCTTTATAACCATCACTACTGGCTTCCGATGAAGTTGATTCCTCATCTGGGTAGTCGTTTCGCCAGTTATTCTCGTCATTTGAGTCATCAGAACAGTCGAAAAATTCCTCCGAGCCATCCTCATCATCATTCTCTCCACATAAGTCTATTGCAAAAACACTGTACATTCGTTCCATTAGCATATCATCAACATCTTCATTGTTCGTTTGTTGATAAATATCATACACATAATTAGTGTTTTCAGTCTGAAAAAACAGAGCAAAACAGTTACTAATTTAATACACTAGAAAAAAGTGAACACTTTCAAATTCAACTTTGGAATGACATAGCTTTGTATAAGACAGTAGGTGCTAGCAATAAGTATCATTCGTTTTGTGAGCTTTGCTTAACAAATAATAAAAGATAGTAGACAGAGGAAAGGGCAATGATGTTTTCTATTCATGAGTTCTGTACTGTATCCGGGCAAAAATCCAGTAATGGCTCAATAACTTCACAATATATCTAACATACACCTGTCATGAGATGCACATTTACATAAATCTGATTTTGGTTTAAAAGCAAAACCACGTATCTCCATTGCAGTGTTTCAAAATCTCTGCTCCCATTTTTTTCTTTTTTGAAGAGGAGCAAGTCAACTATACCTATAGCTTGAAATTTCTACAAAATATTCGGTTGGTAGAAAAGAAAAATCAACGAAGTTTATGAGAAATTAAGTTGACTAGATTTCCAATGAAAATAAAGTATGACAGGCAGTCTGCAACGTCGCAAACTAAGATACGTGGTTTCGCACTTTGGCCATTGATATGTATACATTTTGGAAAGATGAAAGTAGAGAGTGTGGATAGGGGGTAAGAAATGTAAATTTTGATGGTGTAACCCAGAGCGCAGGAATTGTGGGTGAAAGTTGCAAAAATTATCCGAGTTTAACGTGAATTCGTACATTTACTATGCCCATTTACTTCCTGATGATCTAATACAGGTTTATACATTGATCTTTAAAAAAATATCAAGGCTCATTGTACGTCTGCACTAGCTTCGTGCTGTGCTAAGCTGCTTCAAGATAATGAGAAGTACCTAAGGATTTTTAGATTTGGCCCATCTTCAGACAATTTTCATGACCAAGTTCACTATCAGCTGAGGAGGAAAACTCCAGAGGGTATATGAAAAATGGTACCAGTTTTTAAAAATTATATAATCCACAGGCATCTTGACACACAAAAAAAAATTCCGCTTTTGAAAATACCTTATGTATTGAAAATGAATTAACTTTGGATTTTTTCATTACATAATTATAATCTTTGGAGCTTAATTTTCATTCTGCTCAGTTTACAAAGGAAGAGATGTTCAGGTAAAAAAATTAATAGCAAAACGTCACATAAAAAACCTAAATTCAACGAATAAAATTAAAACAAAAATAAAAAATTAATTATCAGGGTCTGAATCCATTATTCATCAAATGAATTTTCAAAAAGTATCACATTAAGAAATCTGATTAGCATTAATAATGCTGAAACAGAGGTCAGGGTTAAAAAATTATTTTTTAAAAGAAAGAGAAAAAAAAAAGAAAAAACCTCAACATCGTATAAAGGGTAAAGATGGAAGTATTAAAGATGTTTACCTCTTTAGATGAGTCTGATACAACATCTACCACTGTTACAGGTTTTTCATTCTTATTATCCTGTAAAGCTCGAAAACAATTGATAACCTAAAACATAATAATCATCAAAAAAGGGATACTTAATTAATAGGGTAAAAACTGAAACTAACGACAAATTCAGAATTTCTGAGAAAAAATTGAAATCAGAAATTCTTTAAGCATCTGTTCATTATCCATATGAGGTTACAAGATATTTGTAAGATCTTATACAAAGAACTGATAGAAATGAATGGAATTCGATTTCTGCAATGAGATGTACCATTTAAGCAATGTTCATATGCCATAAAAAAGTCAGCTTAGGTGGTGTTGTGGTCAAGGTAGTTCACTCTGAGCACTGAGGTTCCAGGTTTAACCCCTAGATATAATAGGTTTTAAAGAACACTTTGAAATCTAACATCAGGGCTAAGAATGACCATGACAATAGGCTGTTCTTTTAAGGCATCAAGATGGGTTAGGATTGGGGACATGGCCATCTGCAGTGGTCAGTTTTCATGGTTTGACTAAGCTGTGCAATTTTTTCAATAAAATTTCTCAAAGTTCTAGCTCCTTCCGAAGACCAAACACTTCGAAGGTGTGATTGGAGCCCCGAACACTATTTTCCTTAAAATCTGTATACTTCCAAGATGATTTCCTCAACTTTTTATCTAAATGACTTTATTTTTTAATTATTTACAGCTGAGCCACTCTCCTCATTCAGTAACTCCAAAACTGAGTTTTTTTGAGCCTGAGCTCTTTTCCTTCTCTGAGCCTTAAAATATATTATTTCGGAGAGCTTTGGATCTCATGAGGTAAAAATTTGCACAGAACTTTCGATTTGCCAATAGATAAACACGCAGAAAAAATTCAATTCTGAGATGATTAGTTGAATGACTAGTCATAGTGACTCTTTCGACGACTAAAAAGTGGTTATCATCATGCTTGTAAAAGTAAGAATTAAAAATCGAATTTCAGCTCATGTGCATCGAATAACTTTTGTAGAGAAAGGAAAAATCAAAGTTTTAAAATAATAACGCTGATCAGTGTGCCGACAACAGGAAATATGCGATGTCACAAGTTTAAATATCTGTTTAATCACAAATTTACTAAGTCTGCAAGACTGCAGAGTGTGGAGTTTGGCAATCACACTCTGACGGTTTGCCCATGTAAATACCAAGGTGAAGACTTTTAACTCGATAAATATTTGGGTAATTACCCGCGATCTTCAATCCAGGAATACTGCATAAAATTTGTTCTTTCTTACTAAAGAAAAGGGCAACTCACCTGAAGTCTGTTGTCTTTTACTTTCGTTTCATGTTCTTTGATAAAATCCTCAGTTACGTTGGGTTTACTTCTCTTCTTGAAACTCGATTTGACAGACTCTAATTTGCGAGCTTTGTTCAAATAAGATATGACCTCTTCTTCCTGCAGGAAAGCCAGATTTACAAATTAGTAAAAACAAAAACTCCTACCAAATTTCGACTCTGATATAAATTATTTTTGAAATGATGGTGATAGCCCAAGTTGTAAAATGCGCGCTTCCAATCCTCCATAAGAACGTTTTCAACTCTAGAATGGACCGCTAGACATGGTGCAAATTTAAGCATTATGATACACATTATCTTGTCAAAATTTGACATAGAACACTATTTTCTTCATAAAATTATTAAAAGTAACTCCTCACCACAATGTTGACGTTTTTTGAAGCATAAATTCAAACATTCTACCCATTAAAAAAGAAACCCTCTACCTGTTTGAGATAAAGCACACACTAGAGCATATCATATCAATCTCTGCTGCATGAAAATATTACAACCTCAATCTTGACACTTCCGCTCAGCTGTTGCATATTTTTCATACCTACTATGAACAACACACGGCGGTAAAGGAACCGTGGTTTTACATGTGATTAGGAAATACAAAGTTTCATGACCAGTGCTACATGAAAACGATCCTATACTTGATGATTAAGAGTTAATTTCAGCAATTTTCATTGCTTAGATCGTGGTCTTGGTAAAATTTCGAGGAGGAGAAATACAGTAGAATACTTAAATTTTTACCAAGTCCGGTGGTCTATTATGTCACAATTTTTTCTGAGGCAAGTAACTAAACTATCTCCTTGAAAGGCCACACTCTTCATGGGAATGCATGCCCTGTTCTTTGTGTAATGTTTTAATTGCATTAAATTTGTCTTAGAGTGCTGATTAATAGTCTTCAATGCGCCAGCTTTCTTCAAGCCACTGTCTTTGCACAATCGGCAACAGAAGTTTCGATAATTTCCAGGACAGGCTGACTGGAATTAAAACTCAGAACGTTTCTGTAAAGATGATCAAGTGATAGAGAGTAAGAAACTGCTTTGTACGGTGAATAGAAGAGGCTTGCGGAATCCACAATAAGACTGCGACTGGGTTGCTGATGACAATGTACCGAAACATGCTGGGGTCATCCTGTTTACATTGTTTACACAGACCTGACAGACCCGACCCGCACTCAAGTCCTAAAATGGGGGATCCCAATCCGTTTGACTCTTTAACGCTGCACTACCTTCATTTATGAGAGAAATTATCAGAACTTTAAACAGCGGCTGGTGCCAAAACAGTGCCTTATAGGAATAGTAAATGCCTCCAACCAAACGGGGGAATTTATCAGAACAAGTGAACAATATCAGATACATACATCACAGTCTAGGGTGGCCGTGAATTCAAAAATTGACGCTTTGTCTTCTTCTTTTGAAGTCTTTAGTCTTTTAGTAGCGATGAGAAGAGCTTCCGCAGGGTTTTCATCCCGTCGCCTTTTAATTCGCACGAAAGCCATCAGGAAAAGTTTTCGACCCTGATCAAAACTTAACCCACTTAATTTATAATACTAACTATCACGAAATATGTAAATCGGCAAGAATTAAACCCACGAAAAAGACCTTAAAAACACAAAAATTCAGACTCATTTACTCAATCTAATTGAGAATGATTGAGGATTGAGATTTCACTTTGGACTGCTGATAAGATTGTGTACTTGTCTCTGTGTACATTACAATATACAAGTTTGCAAACCCGTGAGTCCAAATTGTATGAAGAAAATTAGGCTGTCACATGTTTAGCTTTTTTCCCAATTTTTTGGATGTTTGAATTTGTTTTATGACAAAATAGGTAGAAATTATAATATTTCAGCTCATTTATATGAACGGAAGGTTGGGAAAAAAATAAAAAATTGTATAAAAATCAAGAATTTTTTTTTGCTCATTAGTGTTTACTAACATCTGTCACATGCATGTTTGTAGGTTAGAATTCTCGAGCCGAGCATGTTCTCGGGTTATTAAAAATCAGAAAGTGCCTTTTTGACCTGTTTCGCGAAAAAGTTGGCCAAAACCAAGTCCTTCGTCTTTGATTATCTCTAACGGAGTGCTTAGTGCTTTTATGTGTAGTGTTTTCTCTATTTAGTTTTCTCATTTTCATAAGTTATGAAACTGAAACGGTACAAGAAAGTGCGAAAACACCTCAATTTCTATTGTTCGCACTATGGATTTCACGAACCCTATCAAATATTGATTGATGGCACCTTTTGTCATGCTGCACTGACGGTAGTAATTTTTAAATATTTCAGCATCCTGAATTGTGTTCTGTGACGGAGCCATTTTTCATTCTTGTGGTTGTTTACGTACAGATTTATTGAAGTGGTCAAACAATTTCAAGTACTCATTTTTCCATGTAAATTACAACCTATGTCAGAAAATGTTCAACTTTGCCTCCTTTCAAACCACTTATTTTGTTGGACTCCTGTGGGGAGTGGTAGCGGTGCCTCCATGATTGAGAGGTCCCAGGTTCAATACCTAGTTTGGCGACCCGAGTTCCTTTATCTACATTAATGGTTGCCTCATACTGGTTGCAGGACTTTAGAGAGAATAGGGCTCCAATTGCAGGATTACTGTCTGTCGGCTTCTGGAATAAAAAAAATAACTATCAGAGCTTGACCCTGGCATTCATACTAGTAGAACTGGGGAAAGAAGAAAATAAATAAGTGTCGCATCCAAAAATGGTACCACTCAACAGATATTTACATGCGAACCAAAGGGCCAACTGATGATTGATGCATTCAGACTGATGTGAATTTTGTCTACCTATTCTTTTCTTTTCCCAGTTCACATTAGGATTTTTTGTTGATTCCACCGTCTCAATAAGAGCCGTCGTCAACTAAGTGGCAGTCCTTGACTCTCTGTTTTTAAGCGACAGTGTCGTCGTTGTCCAACAGATCACAATTGTGAGCAGCACCACTGATGTGCGCTGAGAAAAAAATTGGTCTACTGCTTGTGACAGTCGAAAGTTCACAAATGCCAACCCAGTTAACAACACTTCTGGCTTTGGCACAGATTGCAGTAAATTGCAATTACACGGTGAAGGGATTGTAATTGCATAGGAGTGTTGTGTATTTCAACTATTCACTACACTAATTGGAGGAACTCCCACCCCTGAAATTTTTTTGCATCGCGAGTTGCCTACTTTTACCACTACAAACTGGAAATCAACATCTAATATTTTTCTTCTTTTGTTTTCAGGACCATCTGAGTGTCAGGGAGCAATTACAGCGTTATATTGGACCAGAGATTAAGCTACTGACAACTCCTTGTATCATTCATGAGACTGAATCGTTAGGTAAAACTCATCAGCTTTTTTTCACTCCGGGAAGAAGTGTCTCTCAAAGGAACAGGCCCACTGAGAGGCCGGTCGGCGCTCAGTGGGCCTCTAAAATAGTGTTACGGAGCTGTAATTTTAAAAAAGTGAATTTTTTGGAAGTATTTGTGATTTCTGAACTCAGCGACCCTCAAGAGTCCCTAAAAATGCATTTTGCTTGGTTTGAACATTCAGTCTGATTTAATAACAGTCAAACCCGACTTTGTTGCGCGCGAAAATCGGTTGGCGCGTTGAGCGGAAACTTCAATCGATTATAACTCCGGAACCGTTCGGTTCCCCAGCTCAATGGACCACTCGTTGGATGCGGAAAAAGGCAAACAATTTAAAAAACTGGTTTTGGTTCAAATAAAAAATTGAGATCATTGTAAATTTTTCGTTTAAGTAAAAGAAATTTTCTAGACCCAAAAACTGGAAAAAAGCACATATGTCGACTTAAAAATGTATTATCGGGATTTCGACCTTTAGAATCTTAAAGTATGCAATTTTAGACGATTTTTTGGACCGCTAGGGGACCTCTATATCTTTCTTTGTTCGAGAGATATCAAAGTTCACAGGTTTTGACTTCCCCCCCCCCCTAGCTCCTCCCAAAAATTTGTTGGGGGTCTGAAAATTTGGATAAAGAAGCGCTCAAGTATGAGTAATCAATAGACCAAGTCTGAAGAAATTCCAGAGGGGGGGGGGGGCGAAAAAAGCAGTTTTTGCATCAAGTTCTTTTCGTATCATTACGATTTTGGGGGAAGTAAAGCACTTGAAAGGTCACAACTTCCAGTTAAAGGAAAAAAAAATCGGAATCCTCAAAATCAGTAGACCACAGACGTGCTTTTGTATAAAAAACTGTCCCCATTCACCCCATGTTACAGTATTATCTTTCAGACCCTTTTTTTGTGAGGCTCAAGATTTGGGGGAAAGAAGGATTAGTAAATTAATTTCAAGCCCATTGGCCAGTTTACCCTTAACCTTAAGCTCAATTTTTTTGTAGGAAAGTTTTTCCCAAAAATTTAGGAGTATTTCCTGAGGGAATAAGACTAGGAATTTTTCACAGAGATAGCGACTCGCACATTGAGCTTTAACTTACTGGCAAAGCATGTGAATTCAGGGATGCTCAGATATCTTTTTATCCAACTGTGAGGAAGTGTCTGAACTGCTTACTTAATTTGAAGTTAGTCTTCTTTAGAAAACTTAAATTCCTCTCTGCGTCAGTTTGACGTTTGACCTAATTTTTATTTCCAGGAGCGAAAGCCTATGGATCCATGGTCATCGTAAAACAGTTTGCCATTCATCATTGTGGGCATGAAAAGCATCCGATTTCTGGAGCCCAATGTTTCTTGTCTATGATTGGTGAGAAGAATACCAACCGGTAAGATCTTTCTTGCATCTTTTTTTTCTTCTTTTCAAGCGATCACTCAAATTTCACAATCCTTTGGATTTGTAATTGACGTAACTGCACAGGACGCTGAAAGCTCAGTGTAATAGAAACTAATTGCTAACAACATCATTGCGGGTATGATCAAGACAGATGGAACATTAATGAGTATTTCAATGAGCTCAGTTTGTATTGTATCCATTTGCACAGATGTATTCACACTAATTTTATAATTTTTGCACATTCAGACTGAAAGTGAGTCAACCGACAGAAGTGCAGGAAAATTGGCCTTCTGAGAGCTATTCTGCTCCAATCTCAAAAAACGAGGGCTTACTGACTCAAATTAAACCAATCGTAAGCATAGAAGAGGCTTTTATTTCCTGCTTCCACTCTCATTGTAATTCATGAAAACCACACCAACATTAGACAAGAAGCTATGGCAGTATGCGAAGGTGCACACCGTTTAATTAGTGAATCATCCATACAGTGGATTTTTCCCCATCATTGTTTTAAAAGAGGTATCAACAATTTGGATTCCTTCTTGCTCAACTTCCTAGCCCTTCAAAATTCTTGTGTTCCATTGATTTCTTATTCAAATTTCTCCTTCACTTATCTACTTTAAAGCTACACTTTGGAAGAAGAATTAATAACAGGCATCCTCTAACACATTAATGAATCATCCCTCAGGTATATTATTGCAACTCAAGATAGAGATCTTCAGTACAAAGCACGGAAAGTTCCTGGTACACCGTTATTGTACATAGACCACAAAGCACCCACTCTTGAGCCACCCTCTTTGACTTCTGTCAAAGTCGCAACAAATGAGTCTCTTTCTCGGTAAGTATTCCATCAAAGGCCACTGAGAGCCGTTTAATATGCATAATACCTACTCTTTTAAACTTGCCTCTTAAATTAATTTAGTTTTCTCATTGTTAGCTATAAGACAAAAACATCAAGTGAAAGTAACCCAAATGAGGGAAGATGCTTAAATTCCAGATGCTTCATCTTACTTATAATATTGCTTCGCAGCACTTACCTCTTCCATTTAATTTTTTTCTCTTGCCTGATCTCTTGTTCTGTCTCATCTTTTAACCTGTTTATGTAAGGCTGACCTACACTCGACCTTGCAAACTTGGCCATGTGAGTAAATATTCTACTAACAGAGTGGTACTTAGAAAAGTGCTGGATCCATACTCTCCTGCAGAGAAATTAAAGCCAAAAAATTCAACAATTAGAATATGAGTCACAAAATGAACTCAAATTAGTTTCAGTGGAAGATTTAAGAGGAGGGTAATTGTTCAGTTCAGGCAGATGCATCGAAATATTAAACTGAGGTCATGCTGAAAGATCTACACAAGTTTGGGTGTTTCCTTACCTTGTCGGTATTTGGGCCTTATTGTTAGTGTTTTTTCTTGTCTTTTCGCGCAGTTGGGGAACTCACTACTCTTTGTTCATTGTTTTCAGAGTCAATGTTGGAAAGTCTGAAGAGATTCGTTTGAATAAATTGAAAAAGAAACTTCTTGGAAAACCTAAAGATGAGGAACCAAAGTTCAAGAAAAAGAGAAAAGGTCCAGCTACTAGGCCTAAGAAAAAGAAACCACAGCCTGTTGTTCAAGAGAAAGGTCCAGAAAAAACCCATAAAAAAAAGAGAAGAAGAATCAAACTTCCAAAGCATGTGAAAGAGGAGCTTGCCAAACAAAAAGACTCAAGTTGAACTGTGATTTTATCATTTCCTGATTTAGAGACAGCAACAAAGCAGATACTAAAAAAGCGCAGAAATAATTAAGATAGCCGTCTGTGGCAAAATTCATATTCCTGATGACTGGTAACGGAAGGAACTCATTACAATTAGGCCAGATAAGTAAAGTGCCATGGCCTTTTACCTACATAGCTGCTGCCAATTTTAGTTATACTAAATAAAAAACGGCTGTCAAACTATGTTGTGTTGTTGCCAAAGTGGGGATCGGTGCGCTTCCTTCGTGATTTCATAGAAAAATCCTCAATGGGCCGCAATTTTGAGACGCTCAGTTTGATGTATTGTTATCAATGTCTCATAATCAGCTGATAATTTGCAGCCTTGCAGGTGAAGTCTCTCAGCACTTAAGTTACGCGGCCGTAATTTCGTCTTTTTCGCTGCTATCTTTTAAAGTTTAGCCAAAATTCTTCCAAGGATAAGTGACACGATTCATTTGCAAAATTTCAGTATAATTGTTGGAAATGCCTATGGTAATGAGTGTTTCTTCTTGAGAGGGGGAAAAGAAAGAAGTTTCCAATCATGTCCGTGTAAGTTAATGGAATGAATTTTGAGATTATTTTTTATGATATTACTACATACTCTATTTCTGTCATAGATTTTAAAAAAAAAAAATTGAATGGAAAACTGAAGTTTCTTTTCCTCAAAAAAAAAAAAAAAACTCATGATTAAATGCTTTGTATCATGAAAAATTCTCTCATAGAAAAAGAACAAATCTTCTAAAGCACAGCAGTCTAAAAAGTGATACCTTATCTTGGATGAGCATGGCTAGATAAAAAGAGACATGTTTCTCGGCGGTAATAATTGCACTTTTCTCTCTGATTTTCTCATACACAAGACCATCTACTATGGAGGTTCAGAATTTGTGCAAAACTCAATGATGACTATTTTCGGGGTGTGTCACTTTTTTTTCAGGAAGAGAGGATGGAATGTTTGCTTTTCATACTTGCTATACTCCAATGCTTCCTGAACATGGCAGATTAGGATTTTAAATATATTTTTCTTGCAACTACATGCAACTGAATTCATTTTCAGGTCATTTGATTTTTCAAATTAAACATAATAGAAATAAATTAAATCAAACTCAGGAAGTTGATTCAGAGTAGGGCTGAAGTTTCTGAGAAATCAACTGAGTTTTGAGCGCTGAGCTGTGATAGGATTTCAAAGTTTATTTCTGTAATGTAACTGGCAATTTGGATGTTCAAGTAAAGTCTTAATACAAAACAAAAAGTAAAGTTTTGTTTTTTGTGGTTCGCTGGTTTCTCTCTGGTATTTCATTTACTTTATGAGCAATTTGATAACATAAAACGAGATGTGGTAACCTCCTTAAATTCTTAAGTGGCCACCAAGGTGACAACCACTGATTGCTGCGCTAACTGTAGATTTCTCCAACTTACTATTTTACGCTTCTCATTCTACAGATTATAAAGAGCAGTACAGGCTGTGAATCTTTCAAATTGGTTCACTTGTATTTGTTTCACAAGAGGTTATGAAACACTACGTGTAAAAAGATCTGTATGCATCAGTGTTGTCCCACAATAGGTAGCTAGATCATTGTATATGGAAGTCATGAAAGCGCCATTTTAAAAACTGGGAACTATCGTTCATATTAAAGGAGACGGCAACGTTAAAAATAAGTTTGGCTAAATCGACGAAGAAAAGTGTGCAATGAACGATGCCGAAATCTATTTGCAAATATTCGCATTCGTTGAGCCGCTATCGCGAAAGAACAGCTGGGCGTGACATCATGAGCTCCGTCTGGCATTTTGCAGTCTGCATTCTATCTATGGTATCAAGTGGCCGACACGTGTTGGCGACAAGTTATTAGTTCGCCCCAATCTCGCTCATTCCTGGCCGACTCTTCTTTCTTTGTTTAGGTGTGACTATTTGGGCGACTTCGCGGCGCCTGACTTTAAGTTGTGAGCATGTGAACCGCAGTCGCATCGGGAGCGCATGACGTCACCAGTCAGACTTACAATCTTTCATATCTCTGCCAATTTTGCGAATTTTTCATTCGGGACGGAGCCATTTTGCTTCTTATACCTTTTCGCTTCAATTTTTAATACTATTTCATTTCCGATTTTAGGGTTGCCGTCTTTTTTAAGTAGCCAGAAGTTGAACAAAGAGGAAAGATGGGACTAAAATTCATTCTGTACACGATGATTTAATACAAAATAATTACATTTCAAACAGTATTTGTGGTCTAAAGTTCTATGAGAGTATGAAAAGAACAACAAAAAAAGAAAAAGAGGATCTGAGGAAATGTTACAAAATAATTCTATAAAACATAAAATAGTGTTTCACAAGTAGCCTGGAGCACAAGGCTGCAAATCATTTGAATAAAATATGTCAGTGTTCGCCCATTTCTAAAAGTTGAAAATTGGATACATAGCATTTATGACAGTAAAAACCTGAATATTCATTATGAAAAATCATTGGAACAAGATATCAGAAGCAGATTTGATAATGAACTGCGAAGCTTCGATGTATCACTTTCAGAAAATTATACTGAACCTTTAAAAAATAAAAAAAATGTAAATCTATTTACTTCACTTATTGGCTGAAAACATAATTCAAATTGACAATTTTTTAATGCAATGCATACACATAAAAAAAGTATATTGAGATAAATTTCTAAAGCGTACAGTCTTCTTATGTATGAAACAAAAAAATGTATATTAAGACACAGGTTTTAAGACAAAGATTAATATATCACATTAAATCTTGCTACAGGAACCAATGAGGCTTCTCTATCAAAGGAGAAAGTAAAAAGCTTTGTCAACACTAAGTTTGTTGAACTGGTAGCTTACACCATTTGTGGATGGACTAGTAGACAAAGTACGAATTTAAGCATTCTGATGTATGTTTCTTAACCAAAATTTCACATGGAAAACGATTGATTATAATTACTGAAATCATCTAACCAAGATAATAATGTTGTTGAAGCATAAATTCAAACTTTCCGCTCATGAAAAAAACAATAATCCACTTGAGTTAAATCACACACTAAATGTTGTGGTGAGTCTCTAGAATACAAAAATATGGCAACTTCAATCTTGATGCTTTGGCTCATGATCAGCTAGAACAAGTTGTTTACTTTTTGAACGCTACACGGTGGGAAAAGAACAGCTCGATTGAGAAGCCTACCAAAACCGTTGTAGTGCGCAATTTGATTCGTGTGGAGTATTGCTTTTCTTGTGAGCGGGTAATTCAAACTTACCGCAGCCAATTTAAAATAAAAATGTTAATATCTCAATTAGGAGTTGATTTCAATAATTTTCATTGAGCTGATCAGGTTCTACTTGAAATTCTGGCTTCGAAACTTATATCAGAATGATTAAATTCGTACCTTGTCTACTGGTCCATTACTGTTACCTACGTTGTAAACAAATTCAAGCGGGAGATGTATTTGTTTCTTAATGTTTTTTCCCCTGACAGAATACATTTGTTTAACGTTTCTTTGTAGAATCAAGGTTAAAATGGTCTAGAGTTTAATACAGGCTGAACAAATTGAGCTTTCAAGAAAGAGAAAAAGGAAAACTGAAAGTATCCTCATAACACAGAGAACTGTTCATACTACTTCCAGTATATGCATACACACAAGAACTTCATTTCACAATCGTCAAACACAATAATTTAACAAAATACTTGCATAAAACACAAGAATATTCATCTACAGTGTTACAATGATTGGTTTATAGCTTACTCTGGACGGATATTTCAAACTTCCGTTCTGTTATGTTTCTTGCAAGAATAATGCATACCTGGAACACAAAAAATGTAGAAAAGAGATCACTTGAGAAAGCATTCACTGACACACCCTGTCTCTATTCGGATTCCTTAAATTTTAGTTGTTTTCTTTATTAGTTGTTAGCTGTTAGTATTCGTTGTTTTGTTGATTCAGTGTTGTCTTCCTTGAAAATGTAGGCACTGAGAATATAGAGTGGAACCATTGACATTAAACATCTTCCAACTTGAAAGACTCGCATGATTTTTAAATTAGCCTACATTTTAATTGCGACAAGCCGCATGACTTTTTCAGATTGTCAACCATTGACATTTGAAGCATTCTAAGCAAGAAGAGCTGCTGGCGTTGGCTGCCTCTTGCTGAAGAAAATTTACATTTGATTAATCAATTTCTTAAGCTGAAGTGTGTACAAAATTTTACTTTCATTCGATGGTTCTACAGTCAATGTTAGCAAGAAATGTGTAACGCAGGATGCCTATAAAAGCAGAGGCAGAGATTGAAATGCAAGGAGTGGATACTTATCACTGAGGTGGGTATTTTACATGAAAAATGAATTGTTGGAAAATCAGAAATTGATAGCAGATATGAGAACTATGTGAAAGTAGAATGCACCTAAAATTCAGATTTTCAACCTTCACACTGCAGAGTAACAAATCTATTACAGCACACATAAGTACTTTGGACCTTTAATCACCACTTTTGTACGGATAAACCTTGCCCAAATATCTTGGATGTTGTGTCAAAATGCGCATCTTGAAAGTGCTGATTTTCTGACTACCTAATTATTTTCCTATCCTAAGTAGGGGAGACCGGGGCACAGTGACCGCCGGGGCATAGTGAACAAAGCGACGCTAGCGCTCCTATGGTTGTCTCGGGGAAACATTTGTTTGTGTGTGGTGTTAGCCCTCTATAGGTACTTCATTTCTATGCTGTGCATCTCCAGTTTGTTGACAACGGAAATTACTGACAACAGGTCATTTATTTTGAGGTAAGTTTTTGCACATTTTAAATATTTAATTTCTCATTACTTTTGGCGTTAACATTATGAATCAAGGAAAATCTACTTGCTATTTTCCAATGCACATGTCTTTGGGTGTATTACCCTGCACTGAAAAGTTTACCACTATTTCAGAATCATCACGTTATGAGGTTATGTTTATGAAAACTCCTACCGGGGCACACTGATCTCTTTCCTCAGGGGCAGAGTGACCATCGCTGTTTATTATCTCAACTTACATTTTTAAGTCTCAGCTAAGGCACATTTTTCTGTTTTTGCATTTGGTACACATGTAGGTATACCATGTTCACATGTATTACTTGAAAGATTTTACCAGGCCCCTGCTCTCTCTGTACAGATTCTAGTCATGGTGCGGCATCGGAAACGCAAAACAAACATTGGGCAAGTTCCTAGCGAAACGATGAGGAATGCTGTTACAGATGTTATTACTAGAGGCTCTTGCATGAAAGTAGCAGCAACTCAGCATAAGATCAGCTACCACACTCTGCGTCGGTAAGTACCTAATTACACCCAAACCTTTCCAGTTTTACTACCTATTTATCTCGGTTACCAACCTTCCGCAGAGTGTCGTGTCTCCCCTATTTCATTGAAAAATTTCAAATGCTCCTAAGAATACGATCGCTTTATTTTGAGATCTAAAAGTCTTTCTAGTTTGCTTTCTGCTCTGCAGGTACGTACGGAAGGTGCGCCAACTAGGTGCAGAGGCATTGGAAGAGCTCCGCATGGCTCCTAATTATGCTGTCCGAAAAATTTTTACTGAGGAGGCTGAAAAGTCTATTGCCCTCTATCTGCGGACATGCGCTAACATGTGCTATGGTCTGACCACTGTAGATACAAGAAGATTGGCATACACAATGGCAGTGCAGAACAGAGTCAAAATTCCTGAATCTTGGACCAAGAATAAACTAGCCGGTGAGGATTGGATGAGGTCTTTTGCTGCAAGACACAAATTAAGTTTGAGGCAACCGGAGGGCTGTTCTCTTTCGAGAATGACCTCTTTCAATAAGGCTAATGTGAGTAAGTTTTTTGAAAATCTTGGAGACCTTTATGAACGTATTCCTGCTCTCTATGACCTTAGCAAAATTTGGAATTTAGACGAAACGGGCACGAGCACTGTTCCAGATAATCAACCAAAAATTTATGCGACAAAGGGTGTGAAGTAAGTTAGTTCTGCAACTAGTGGAGAGAGGGGGACATTAGTGACAACATGCTCTTTTATTAATGCGGCTGGAGGCTTTATTCCCCCTGTTATGATTTTTCCTCGCAAAAATTTCAAAAACATTATGGTGTCAGGTGCTCCATATGGTACCAAAGGACTTGCCAATCCAAGTGGTTGGATGAATAGTGATACTTTCCCTGAAGCAATGCAGCATTTTGTTGAAAAAACTGGTGCATCAAAAGACAAGCCAGTTTTGTTACTCCTAGACAACCATGAAAGCCACCTTTCGATAGATGCCATTGATATCGCTAGAAATAATGGAGTCCACATGTTGACCATTCCTCCACACTCAAGCGACAAGTTGCAGCCCCTTGACATTACTGTGCATGGACCATTTAAGAAATTCTACAGTGATGTTGTTCGATCTAAAATGTTAACTCATCCTGGAGTTCCCATCACAATTTATGAAATTGCCTCATGTGTTGGCATTGCGCATGCCAAGGCAATGACTCCAAACAACATCATGAATGGGTTTAAATCTGCCGGAATCTATCCGTTTGATAAAAACATTTTCACAGATGATGACTTTCAGTGTAGCGCAGAGACAGATCGACCAAATCCTGAACAAAATCCTGCTCCAATTGCGAATAATCATACAGCCGGTTCTGAAAATCCTGTGCCAGGTACCTCCACTGAGGGGCAGATAAATTCTAGTAAAAATCCTGCTCCTATTGCGAATAATCATACAGCCAGTTCTGAAAATCCTGTGCCAGGTACCTCCACTGAGGCAAATTCTAGTGAAGCAAACCCACCCGCAACCCCCTCCGGCTCTGTAAGCAAGAATCTCTTGGTTGTTAGTCCTGAAGAGATTAGACCCTACCCTAAAGCTCAGCCCAGGAAAACAAACCGGAAACCAAGAGAAAAGGGAAGAAGTTTAATACCCACTGATACTCCAGAGAAGCGCCGATTAGAGGAAAAAATTGCGAAGCGTGCGGCAAAAAAGCTAAAAAAAGGTGAAGGTAGGTCGTTACGAGCCAAGAAAAGTCTTTTTCAGGAGCCGGAACTACCAGATGAGATTGAAGAGGATGTGAACAGGGAATCTGATGAAGACTTGACTGAAGATGATGATGAAAACGTGACTGAAGATGAGGAAGATGACTGCTCTGAACCTGACATTTGTGATAGCTTTTTTTCAGGAAAGTTACCGCATCCTTTAGTTAAGGATGAATATGTACTGGTTGAGTTCTCTGATGAAAAGAAAAAGACTAAATTTTATTATATTGGCCAGTATTCTGGCAAAATTGCAAATGATGGCGCGTTTGAAATTAATTTCTTGCGTAAAAGTGCAAAGCTGGACAACACTTTTATTTTCCCTCCGATTCAAGATTTAGCTGATGTAGTAGAAGCTGACATCAAAATGATAATGCCACAACCAGTTGCCTGTGGTACCACCAGCCGGTTGCAGAATAGAATCAAATTTGAGATCTCATTTTCATCTATTGATGTTCGTTAACTTTAATTTTTTCTACATTTTGTCTTGTTCCTATATTTTTGGAAAACATTCTATGTTTACTTTTTCCTAATTTTTAATACCTTCTAGGTGTTTAATTTACCTTGGTGCCTCAGTACCTACCAAACTATTTTTTCTCTCATATTTTTCTATTGATAATGCTCACTACCTCAGTAAGTGGGAATATTTTGTCCTCTTTGAATGTTACTATTTTCCAAATTTAAGTATTATTTTTAATAAGAAAGAAGGGGTGCTTTTGATTTAGGTAGCTACATTTCGTTACTATTTTCTAAATTTTTATAGTTTTTGTTTTTGATTACTTAGCTACTTAGACCCTGTGCTTTTGACATTCGTTACCTTAGAGACTTGAAAGTCTTAGAGTCATATTCAGAGTTGCCAGTCAACCTCCCTCAACTCCGCTCAAATGAAGTGTCCTTTAGATCAAATTGAGATCAGTGAGATGCAACGGACACTCTATTTGAGTGGTGGGGTTTAAGTGAATAGGTACTCTGAATGCCGCCCCTAGTCTTAATTTTAAGAGATGCAAAGGCATTTGCAGTAGACGCCTTTTTTTTTTTTAAATAGGTAGTAAGTACCTATTTTTAACTTGTTCACAAGCCAAATTTAGAAGTTAAGTAAAAAGGAGCTCCCATTTTTTAAAATTTTTTCATGTGTTCAAATATAGAAGTTAAGATAAAAAGGAGCTCCTATTTTTTAAAATTTTTTCATGTGTTCATTTATCTAATAAATTTAACTTTCTTTAAAAAAAACAATGGCACACTTTCCATTTGCTCAGTTGTCACTGAGTTTTATCAGCTTGCTGCGAGGAAATGGGACCTTCACCCCCCCCCCCTTGGGCTCGTCGGGGAGCATGGGATGAAGATCCCCCCCCCCTTCGTTTTCACTAAATCACTTCTTTACCCAAAATACTGGCTTAATTTGGTGAATTTTGGCAAATTGTTGCCCCCCAAAAATCCCCCCCCCCCCCTGAATTTGTTAATACCCTCCTCTAAGTAGGAGATGAATCATCCTTCCCTTCCAGGATAAGAAATGTCGAACTTCCTTTCCTGTAGGGGTAGAGAGGGTTCCTAAGGCCACTCACAAGAAGAATGGTCACTGTGCCCTAGTCCCGTGAGCACTGTGCCCCAGCCTTGGGGTACAGTGGCCAAAATTTTTTTCAACTTTCTTGGATTTTTAACAATTTTTCTGATAGGTGCAGACCTTTGAAACTTCCAGGGGTTTTAAGGTACTGACATACACTTATCATCCCCCCATAGCAGATCTTCAGAAACCTCTTCAGGAAGAGCAGAGAAAGCAAAAGGAAAAATC